TGGGAAAAAATAAACCACAGCACCTGAAATTTTTTTAAAGATAAAACATCGGTTGGTAACCATTTTTATCGCTCCAAAAACATTCTGAGTACAAAGGCCACATGTGCTGAGGAAATTGACGAAAGAACACAATTGTCCTTATTGTTGACATTTACTGCATGTACCTTCAGATGGTAAATTCAGAGGGAAAGAAAACTGAAAAAAGTGTTTGTCTGCTCTTTGAAAATGGTGAACATGTTAAAATGAGAGCTCTTAGTTAAACTTCCGTATATCGATTCATTGGTAAACTTTCCCATCATAGTGTTAATTTATTTGAAATCTTCTTCATTTCACAGTGTCAACAGTAGAAAAACTGTGAATCTTGTTGTGTTGAGGAGCTTCAGTACATTTTAAAATTTACAGTTTTCCAATTTTTTAAGCAACCAGTATCACTTTTCAAATAAAAGACTGACATAGAGTTTGTTAAAAATATATAAATCTAATCTTCATTGAAATATTTCAAGACAGATAACTTTCCTATAAAATTTTACATACAATTACATGTAAAAATGTTATTTTAAAACAGAACCTGAAACATGTTAAAAACCTTGCAATCTTCAGACAACTGATCTATTTTATTACCTTTACATGTATACATTAAAAAAAATATGCATGATAAACCAGTCTATCAACAAACAAATGTCAATTTTATGTGTAATTTCCCACAAATTTGAATGCAATTCAAGCAGTTATTTGAAAGGAGTGTAACATCAAAATCAAATCACTGGTAAGCTTACTTAGTTCAACATGGCACAAGGATATGACTTTGCAAAATTTGTCAAATCAAGCTTCAAGGGGTTTTAGGACAATGAAATTTCATGAAGATTCAAAACCTGTGATTTTTATATTTTTTAGGTGAAGCGTATAGCAGAGTATGATAGATATTTACAGAATTTATTAGCTGAAACAGATCCTTCAAATCAGGATTATGAGTCTTTAAATAACGCTGTTAAAAGAGTTAATGCTGTAAGTTAACAATTATAAACACTCTAGTATGTTAAGCTTTTCTGTGCATTAGTGGTGCCAAAATGAACCAAATCTTAAATATTTTGGCACCATATTTCTGCTGTTCCATCTTGAAAATTATTGTCTTTTAGAATTTTGGAGAGAGCTTTACTATGACATCATCATATTCTTGTCATCAATGCCAATGAAATGAATCTATTAATGTGAATTCACAATAATTTTGGCCATATTGTTGCCATTTTCAATCAAAATGCATCAGATACAAGAGTTTTTGAGCAGTAAGTCATAAATATATATCAATTTTCAGATAAAACATATAGCAGAACTTGATAAATCCAGTCATACAGACGTGCTCCCTGGTGAAACAGACGTCCTATCTGATGGTGGTAATGACCAATCAGAGAAATCTCGTACTTTACCAAGTAATAAACGTGATAGCCCCAGCAGTGCTGTTATATTTAAACATTTAACAGTAGGCAGTAAATTCAGACCAGCAAATAATTGGTAAGTTTATTCAGGATGACAATTAAGTGGTGTTTTTCTTGTTATAGTGAATGTAAAGGCAAAGAAAAACTGTGTCTTTAAGTAAGTTAAAAATAAACTGTCCAAAATTACTTGCTGAAGAAAAGATGCATCAAAAATTATGAAAGGCTTCTGGTGTTGACCCATTTCCGTATCTTTCACAACTAGGAATAGCTCAAGATGATCTGAACAAAAACTTTGCCATTGCTTGTTTTCAGGAGTCAAAGTATGGGTCTACCAATGGATGGTGAATCTGATGGATTAGCTGGTAATTCAGATGAAAGAATGTATGTTATGGAAGGTCCTGTGGTTTTCACTCAAGTAAGTTTTATTTTGGTATCTGACAAAATTCAGTCATTTACGAGAGCAATAGGGAAATCCCATCATATGGATTTTGAGTCATGATCTAGGGAAAGCCTCCGTTGAAAGGATGCTTGAAAATAACTGGTTGCAAAATGTCCAATATTTTGACTTGAGACAGTACATATATGTTTGCTATTTCACTGATGAAAGCAATAACTGTGAGATTAAGATAGATAAAAGGAACCAAAAAATCTAGGGTTCCTAAACAAATATGGGTTTGAAAAGGGAAAAAGGAAGTTCATACTTGATATTATGACTGATAGTTTACTGATAAAGAAAACAACATTGTCTCGGGTGGATCAATTGCTTAGACAGGTCTCTTAAAAACTCATGTGAAAGAGTACATGCATATATGAACTTCATGAATGGGTTAAATGTTGCAAAATCAAGAAGGTGTGTGATCTCTTCAGTGTTTGTGTCTATTTTACCATCTAGTGATGAAATTCACTTCATTTTAGCAGAAAGTGAATGAGGTTAGATACAGGGCACAGAGGTCAGAACTTCCACACCTGTTGTGTCTGTAAATCGCATCAAGGGTGGAATTGCAGTTTACTGACAAAAACATCAGTCTGCATGTAGTTGACAATGTGGGAAGGTTTTGATTAATTTGTTCATCTTTATGTACTGTGTATCAAACGCAAAGAATACCCTAACTGCACTGTAGTTCTTTGAAAAAAAATGTTTATAGTGAAATTTTGTCTTCAAAAATTCAATTGTGTTTCTGTTTGCATTCGACAGGGTTCAACCAAACAAGACAGATATTTGTTTTTGTTCAGTGACATTTTGCTGGTTGCTAAGGAAAAGTGAGTTGTTTTAGATTACCCCATTCCTATTTATTTTCCTTTTTTTTTAATCATTTTTGTTTGACACAGACGTGATCGAAACCAAAAGTAAATTGAGTGTGACATCATTGTATGATTAAGTGTCAATAAAAATGGCTGCCATAGTGGACTATTTTTTGTCCATGATGTTTGATCGGTTGAAAGAAGTAATTAGCAGCAGGTTGCCATTAGACCTGTAAACTTATTCTTACATGTTGAGCAAATTTGTCTCATATTAGAAACACCAACAAACTGTTGATTTAAGTTCAATAAAGTTATGTTGTACAAACATTTCATTCAAATTGAAGCTCTATATTATCAAAATATCACCCTCATTTTGTATATTGAAAAGGTGAAATATGATTTTACGTACATATTGAGTTTTTCGCATTGGTTTCTATGATTTTACCTTAATAGGTCTAAAATATAAAAGAGGAAGCCATGCTGGTTTCTGCTGTCCAACCAAATATAAGCTGTTATCAGTGGCATAGCCAGGTTTACATTGACTAGAAGGGCCATCTGAGCTCCTGGTCTCCACTTTTGGATTTAGAGGGAACTAGACATGATGGGGGGGTCAACTAATACGAATTGGGCAATGCAGGAAACTAAACTTTTCAATTAGCTGTCAGTTATATCCCTATCAAAGGTAGAAAAGTAGGATGTAAACTTATATTTCAATTCTTAAGTCATGGAATGTTATTTATTTATGTTGCATTTTCAGATCAAGTGCTACCTTCAAATTGAAATACAGAGTGAATGTGACAGATCTGTTAATAGCATGTATAGAAGCAGCAGATAACACAATGGCAGCAGACAGATCATTTGTTATTGGTTGGAAATCCACTAATCTTATTGCTACTTTTGCTGATGCCAATACAAAAGAAATGTGGTTGAATCATATTCTAGAGTAAGATAGCAATTTTTTTTTAGACTGACTGATTAAAATTTGTTCACCATCATCTTTCTATGTTGGAAATTCCTCAAAAATGCTTTTCCAGTCATGAGGCTCTATTTCAGTATAATTGAATGTCAAGTTTTTCTTTAATAAGCAGAAGAGATGACTTAGTTTCTATACACATGCTACAATGCATATATTTCTTTATTGTGTCATAATATTTGGCATGGTTACATGGGAAAATGTTAAAATTTAAGCAAAGTAGTATCATATATTCAAATTGTGTATCTTGTGATTCTTTGCAGACGTCGTAATGCAGAGAAAGCTAAGCAACAGTTTAATAAGCTTAATGCAACCAGAAGATTAAATGATACAGATGAATCTGAAGATGAAGCTTACTATGGTAAATAAATCTTTTCTTGTTATATAACCAGCAGACAAATTTATCGTTCACTTATGTCACTGAGATACTTTGATGCAAGGGAGATTAATCCTAAGTTAATTTATCTTCCACAGAAAAAGCAACAAAGATTCAAAGAGCTTTTCTAGCGAGCCAACTGAGGATTTGTGCTTGATTATTATTATTTAGTCCTTAAATACCTGGTGCTGTGATCCTTCCTGGACTCAATGATTCATATAAAATCCAATGCTTCTATTTGCACCAGTCTCGTCATTCATCTGTGGTGTCTGTACTTTCAGGAAAATTTGATTGAAATTTGCAAGTATGATGTCAACATTCAAATTTCTATATTTCTTTTCTAGAAGAAGCACCTAATAGAAAACACAAAAGAGGTGCACTGTTAAACATCTTCAAGAAATCTTCCAGAGAAGAGACAACCAATGCTAACGAATTAACCAGACCTACTGGTAAATTATTTGGTCAACCATTAGAAACAGTTTGTACAACAGACAATGAACCACCAAAACATGTACTGGTAAGTGTTTTGATTATGCTCAGCCTTAGGGAACACCTGATGCCACTATTAAACTAACAATTTAGTGTTCGACCAAGACATCATAGCCATTTAGTCTGTTTCTAAGGAGAATCAAGAGCAATTGAACCTACATTAGTTAAGCAAAAAGAAACAACTATTTTTTACAGGGATAACAATTTAGTTTCACAAGGATTGTTTCTGCCAGCTGATCCTAGGCCAAGCCTCTTGGCATTGAAATTTCCCTGATTACTATTCCCCATGAATTGACTGGAATAATCAGGAAACAAAACATATTCAACTACTTGCAAATGCCAACAGTGATTAGAACTCACCACCACCATTGTAGGTGATCACTACTAGTAACTAACTAAAGTGCTTGAATTGTTCCTTTGTCTTAACTGTTGTTCATGAATAATTGAAATTCACGTAATAGCACACTGTTAACCTTGACCATTTTGATTTCAGTCAATGTTGGAGATATTATTTCGAGAAGGTGCCTATACAACGGGTATATTGAGAAAATCAGCCAATATGAAAGTATGTAAAGAAATTAAAAAGCATATAGATGAATCTGATAGTATTTCATTAGAAGATCACCAGGTTTTGGCCATCGGTTCAGTATTGAAGGTAATTTAAGCTTTTATTGGTCTAAGGGATTCAATATTGGCTGTGGGTTGTATTATTATTGTATCTATAGAAATATATATTGTATCGTTATTATTGTTAGACCTTGTCTATATGAAAAATTGACATTTAAGTAAATAAGAAATTGTGGCATGAAATCATGTGAAAAGTAAACATGATGGAGCATAAGCATAGCTTTAACCATTGAAAAGTGCAGTTTAAGCTGTAATCAAGCTTTAACACTGTTGCACAAACGATTCTTATGAGATATTCTTATGAGATAGCAGATGTTGTTGCCAGTTATATGTGTATATATATTGGGAATGGTCTATATTCAAGCAAATATATAGCTTTGGGAAAGGTTTAGCCTTTTTACATGTGTAATCCTATGTAAATAATAGACAATGTAGGGCATAGAATATAAAGTCTACATTATGCATAGATTGAATCTGAGATTTATTAAAAAATCTTGTTTCCCAAACCTGCCAAAAGCTATTCTATTATGATCTTGATAATATTGATCTAAATAGGTTTTTGGTGGGTTTGGCTCACAAAGTAAATCATTTTAATATGAGGTCTTTCTCACTCACTTACTCATTCATTAATTTCTTAATTTTCTATTTCATCCACATAATTAATTCCTTCCTCACATCATATTTTCATTCTCTCCTTTTCTGTCCACAGTTTTGATTTTCAATGAGTTGATTTTTGTTGAAATTTGATATTGCATTTTCAAGCTGATCAGGTAGCCAATTCATTTTTATTGAGTGAGAGTCATTCATATGATCAACTTAACATTAGTAAGGTTTTAATTTTAAGAGTTCAGTTTTGACAGATCAGATGGAAGTTGGAGACTTTTTTCTTGGACTAAAGTTGCAGATAATACTCTTGATTTTGCACCAAAAGCATTAAATTGAACTTAAGTTAACCTTTCCATCTTGTTTCTTTGGCAAGCATCCCACAATTCATTAAACTGTCATGGCTACTCATGGATTCATACATCAAATCTTAGAAACTATGACATTCATTCAAAAATCTTACAAGGTTTAAAGAAAGTCATTGAATATGTTGAAGTCTGCCAACCTTAGTTTCAAGAAGGATAACTCTTATTGAAATAAATTCAGACATGCTACTGTAAAGCTGCTTTCACAATAGTTGTGGTGATCAGGTTTGGTTTTGGTATTGTTTCATATTAGGATGCATGCTAGAACTTGTATAAGTTAAAAAGTCATAATGGTGCAGGTAAACATTTGGAAATTTCAAAAGAAATTATTTTTTCTTTTCTTTTGTCTGATTTTAAGTTTATATGACTCTGTAAAGGTTTGTATTAATAGTGCATCATTTTGTAAAAAAATATTATAAAGAGGTTTAGCGCCATTTGAAAGCCATTGAAATATATGGAAACATTTTAAAGGTAAGTTGAATAAGTAGAGGACAAGACATTTTTAGCCTAGGATCATTTAGTGGTATAGGGTCTTTATTTTTGGGAGAATTAGTTCAATATATTTTCTAAAGTTGTAAGGTTTTCTTGCCTCTTTTTGTTTGCTTTTGGGCTTATAATCCTTGCCAATTTGGTCTAAAGACAGGTAAGATGGGGTTTCTTCTAAGACAAAAATTGAAATGTGGATTGCATGATAAAAAATCCTCTTGGTCAAGTTGTTTATAGGCACGTTTTGTTGAAAAGAAAGGTTTCTGGTCTCCAGATATATTATAGGCATCTGGTTTGTCGATTTGTCTTTAACAGTGTGAAACATTCATTGGTAAATCTTGATTTAGGTGAAGTGGTTTTCCATTGCATGATACTTTTACAAAAGTGACCGTCAAAGTGTGAAAACTACTGATTAGTCAACACATATATTATATAGAATAGAGAGTACTGGTATAACTTTTATCAAAATGCATGTAGACATCATCATCAGGGCTTCATTACGAAGATAGTGTTTTTTCGCCGGGTTTAAACAAATATTTTTGAAATAATTGAAGTTCAATCAAGTCCTTTATCTCTTAAATCCTTTAACAATTCACTTTTTCTTTTATAAATTCATTCATTCCTTTTACATTCTTTCTTTCTTTGACTTCATTTTTGCTTTTCATTATCAACCCAAACTAAGAATGAAGTTCAAAATTTTTTTACTTAATGATCGTTGTCTTTAATTTTAAAGGACTACCTGAGATCCATACCAAAGAGTTTGTTACTAGAAGATATGTATGATGACTGGATGGAAGCTGAAAAGCTGGAGGAGAAAACAGACCAGATTAAGAAAATTAAAGAGTAAGTGTCTCAATATGTTGTGTGATTTAGGAAATTTAGTTATGTTTATTGTGTGTAAACACAATGACCCTAAAAAAGAAATATGCCCATTCTTGACAGTAACAAAAATAAATAGAACTCTTGCTTTAGCCATAAAAAAAATTTGGGGATCACATATTAATAATGTTGATTAGTGAAGCTAAGAATAATTTTTGGGAAATCTTGAAAGCAAATTCATTGAGCATTTTAGATTGCTGAACCAATTACCAAATGTTTCTAGTACTACATATTTCAAATTTGGTAATTACCACTGCCCTGAGGTAACCAATGCAACAAAATATATGTTAACAGATGTAATTGAATAACCATTGCATTTACTTTTCAGGCTACTTACAACCAAACTTCCAACTTGTCACCTTACATTACTCAAATATGTCATGTGTGTCTTGCATCATATAGATGAGAACAGTACGGAAAACAAGATGTCTGCTTCCAATTTAGCCGTCTGCATTGCTCCTAGTTTGTTATCATCCAAAAATAAAAATGCCAACATGAATCCTCAGAGTGTCAATAGTGCCATTAAGGTTGTTCAATTAATGATTGAAAACTGTTCTGACATTTTTGGTGAAAATGTGGTTCATTTGTTTGGTTCGAGTAGTATTGGTCACAAAATTCGACCTGATTCAGACTCTGATAGTATGCACAGTATTCTTAGTACTCAAGAATCGATGGGTAAGTTTAGATTTATTTCCACACCACTTAGAAAATGCCAAAAAATTCAAATATTTTGCTTTCATCATAAATTACTCTTTTCGAAACACCTGATGGTACTTCTCTTTGAGTCCACTACTAGACTACTTTTACTCTCGATTTTGCCATACTTTGGATGAAATTTTGATTAACGGAATTGTCTTGCTTGTACAGATTTTTATTAGCAAAGCTTCTGTTACTTCAGCACATGAACAATATATGACTTTTGTACATAAGCATAGACAGATCAATTTGAATTTGAGAGCTTTATTGACAATCCACTAATAACAATACTGTTATTCTTACAGGAGGAATGAGGCGAGATGGTTCATCAATGGACAGTTTAGTGGAAGAAGTACAACTCTATCATGGTGAATCTAGTCCAAAATCTGGTAAAAGTCACATTTCACCATCAAGCCTCAGTCATGATTCAGGATTAATCACCAGTGACTCCCAGGCTTATGAGGATGATTTACCAGATTCAGACAGAAAGTTATACTTGAGAAGCATGTCTAGCCAAGAGAGAAGCACCTACAGCTACAGTGATTGTGGAAGTATGTACAGTCGGAGCATGGAATCTACCTCCAGTTTTGAGACACATGAGCCTGTAGCCCCACCTCGCAGGAAGAAAGACTTTTCTTCATCCTCTACATTTGATACTTTCATTAACTACCCCAGACCACAATCAGCTTACAATAGAATTGGTGGACTTGGAAAAGCTGTTCGCTCACATCCTGATTTAGGCAAGCGTCTATCAGGGGATTCATTAAAAAGTGTGGAAGAAGCTGCTGAAGACATGCCCAGTGAAATGTCAAGTGTGTTAAGACCAAGAACAATCTCTTCCAAATTTAGAAGTAGTGAGCCCATGCTCTCTGTGGCGACATCTAGGGATAAGGTTGTTCGACAGTCGGCTGTTTCTGATGGTACCCCTCCTGTTTCACCAATTTCACCCAACTCCTACTTCACTAGTTCTAGAGACAGCTTAACCTCAGAGTCTTCCACATCCAACAATCAGTTTTCCTTAGAAGATGTCACTGATTACTGTCAGACAACCTCAAAATATGAAAAGGACAGTGATTCAAATTCATTTTCTTCAACCATTGTTATCAATCGTTTTGGAACTCCTGAACATCAAACTTTCTCAAGCTCTCAAAACAGCTCGACAAATTCATTTAGTGACTCTTTGAACAAATCTGTTCCTTTTACCATAAATCATCAACAAAATGATCTGCACACGTCTGACCAACCCTCCAAATTTGTGTCATCACCAATCATTTCCATCACCCAATGTTCCAGTAGTTCTGAAGAAAAACTGGAAGATGATGACGATGATGATTTTGGATTCAAAAAATCTCCTAGAGCACCTGTCATGAAGGTACATCAACAAGTTAGTCCAAGGCAAATGATCAACAAAAATTATGGATCTCCTCCACCTCGAGTGGTCTTGGAAAATCTGGAAGAGAATCAGAGCTCTTTTGGTGGTTTAGAAACAGGAAGTGGTGTTGTTGTTCATCACAGAACACAGCGAAGAAACTCACTTGATTCATTGTCAGATTTTAGAATTGAACAAAAGACAAATGAGATGAAACATAAAGAGCTTGAAGGGCTATTGGCACCAAGGAAACGAGTGACAGTGATTCACAGAAGCAGGTTACATGGCCAATACTCGAATAATTACACGTCCATGACAGACCTATCAGCAATCAAAGCGGAACAAGCAAGGCAACATGCTAAATTGGAGGAACACAGACGTCCTCCTGAACCACCCTCTTATAATGAAGCTATGCAAAGAAACTTCAAACTTTTTTGTGGATTACCTCCAGACATTACCGATCAAGACACTAAGAAACAGAAAGAAGCAAGTGCGCGTGCTAAAGAACTTTATCAGAAATCTATTCAAGCTTACGAATCTGATTCACAGCATAAACAAACCACAAGGTCCAATGAAATTCAAGGCCAAGTTAACGAGGACAATGATGTGTATGTGACACTTTCACGTGATTCTGATATGGCACGAAATCCTCTTAAAATATATGAGGAATCAATGCTTAAGTACGAAAGTTTTGTGCAAAGTCCAAAATCAGTTGAACAGATTACAAATCCAAACAATCTTACAGCAAATGTGAGTTTGCATCGTAGTCAAAGTGACCTGACATCTCGACCGATGTCAAAATTAACTTTACGCCTTAATGAACAGAATCTTCAGACTCAATCAACATCTTGTTTGGATCCCAGCATTAGGAAATCAAGGACTTCATTGCAGCCACCTTCATACAAAGATGCAATGATCAGTAAACAAACTATCAAAGACTACACGCAACCTGAAGCTACTCAGGTGCCTATAATAGTGGAAAAAACTGAAATTCTAAAGGATATTTCTCAGAACTCTTTGAGAAAAGTATCAGAATCTAGTTCCACTCACAGACAATCTAAAGTGAAAAGTGATTTGCCTTGGAACGTTAGTGCTATGACCAAAATGTTTGAACATCAGGGTGGTTCATCAGACTCTCCCTATTCTAAAAGTGTATTACCCCCGCCCTATCAGCATCCACCTCCTTTTAAACGAGAGAACAATGGTGTGAGGACTAGTGTGTCCAGTAATAGTAGTGGTGGTAGCTTTATTACAACACAAACTAAAACTAGTACTGTCCGACGTTCTGGACCACAATATGTAGACTATAGTTTCAGTTCTTCTTCGGAAGATCTGAATAGTTCAGGCAATTTTTCTCATTACCGTGAGGACAGTGTTGAAAGCTGTGATGATTTCACTGATGTGTCTTATGTGTGATGTAGGTGTATCTTGTACTTCCGGCGAAAAAAATATATTCAAAAGTGCTAACTTGACACTATATGAGGTTGGCCCTTCTGGAACCCATACTCGTGTAAGACTTTGTGTGTAATACCCTGATGAAATTTCGTTTTCGGTTGTTGGATACTTTCCAATTTATCAGGGTAAAATAAAGGGTTATTGTGAAACAGGCAAAAACTCATTCCTAAAAGCATTGTGAGCTTGATATGAGAAAATTTGCCGAATAAATAATGAATTGAAGTGTAATTCATCATTAAGTGCCATTTTGATATTTGTGTGTATATATTGTACGTAAATAATAGCCTAAATAATACTGTAATATTAATATCATTTATATATAGTTTCTTAAATTTTGATATGTTTTATTTTATAGATTTTCATATTAATATTCACTGGTCCATTGTGTAAAAAAATATAGGGATTAAGCTTGATATTACTACAAGAGTATGTGTACGAATCCAGAATCACAAGGGGCTGCATAGATTTTTTCTCAATCGTTTAGTTCATGGGTTTCTCGAAAAAAGAATTGGCTGAGTTCAAGAAACAAATTTAAGTAAGACCCCAGGAAGTGTTGTTTTCCTTACATCTTTGATTATCAAAACTAGTGTAGATTTGTTGTTATTACATATTCAGTAAATTGTAGATAAACCTTTAAAGGGAATATTATTCTTAAGTAAAGGAAAATTAACAATAACAGCCTTGCTCTATTTTGATTTATCTTTTATTTATTACAAAAATAGTATCATAGTTCAATAATCATAAACAAAAAACCCTATTGGACACTTGGTTTAACACATTCTGAAAATGAAATAAATGGAGTTTTGCGTCTAACACATTCTGAAGCACTGTTAAATCTGGTTCTATCAAGTACCTTATATTTGCGTTTATAATGCGTAGATTTTATTTACTCTAAAAAGGGTTTGTGACTTATACACAGTGACAATTAGTTTATTAGCATCCACATATAGTTTGAATTATGGACATTCAACAGAGCAGATTAGGCACTTCTTAGTTTCAAAAAGCTAAATCAAAATTTTCACTAACAACGAATATAGGAATTATAGAATTTGTTACAAGTTGTTTTTGTTAATAAAATATTTATATATATATATTGCCGAAAATAAATATACATACTTAATATTATAATTTATTCTTTATATAGGTTAACACCTACATCTACACAAATCCTTCGACAGTTGTAAATAGCAAATTTGGAATCAAATACCTGTCTTGGCAAAATACTTTTTATCGCTTTTATTAAGTCAACTAATATTTTAGGATGGCCTGGCTTTGCCCCCTCTGTGCCACTACAAAGATTTTGCCCTTGCTATCTTCCTTTCTTTACTCTCGCCCTCTCTTTTTTTTCCTCGATTTCTTGCCTGCTTGCCTTTTTCCTCGCCTTTTTTTCGAAATTCGAGAATGATCTACATTGTACGATACCGTTAACCATACTTACTAAAACCTGAAACGACCAAACAAAACACGAAACGACCAGGAACCGACCTCATTCTAAACTAGATAGCGATAAATTCTAAGCATGCTACTCAGACCGAACATATACACCATTTTATTTGCCATTTGACGCCTCGGACGTCTGTGATTGATTGATTGATTGGGTGGGTGAAAGGAAGTTCGCAATAGCCACACTTGCCGAACGAGTCGATGGCGTTGAATATGCGAACGAATGATATCAAACACGCTTGATGCTGGCGAATGGTTCGGCGAGTTGATCGTCCAATGTGTCCAGTGCATCGGCCGAAACCATTCGCCAACATCAAGCGTGTTTGATATTATTCGCCAATCCCAGAAGCCGAAGCGTCACATGACCAATTACTTTCGCCTTTCGAATTTTTTCAATAACTTAGAATTTTGACCGCGTCAAAATCACGACTACATTCTACTTTCTAGCAAATCAAAATCTACTGTTAATTAATGCCACTCAAGGAAGCCAGTCAATCACAGGACAGAGTTGTCTGCCCATGCCAATCCACCTGGCAAAGATGTCAGCCTTTAATGACCGAATCAATGTTCAACTTACGGAAACTAACGAACATTATGTCTGTGGATCTACAATTCCACTTAAACTAAGTGTCTGATGCG